TATATGTATATATATATAGAGAGAGCAAATGTGTAAAAAAATTTATACAAATAATATTTAAAAGTATCTAAAATATTAGTAATTAGACAGGTGAAATTAAATTTTTTAAAAATCTATATAGATAATGAATTTATAGTAGTAATTAGACTTTTATTTATTTACCTTTAAAGTTGTACCAATATTCTTCTATTCAGGCTGCAATGTGTATAGTTTTGGAAGATGAAAGAACTAATTTTCTGTATATTGTTGCGTCCCATTTCCCAGGGAAGAGTCCTACTCCTAAATTCCAAATTCTCATCAATTGTGGGCCCAATATTAATTCTTCTATTCAGGCTGCACGCCGGTTGGTTGCATCATATTGGCCCCTCCAAGTGTTGATCCCTGGGAATTTTTCATGAAAAATGAAATATATTTAGGCATTTTATTTTGACGCTATTGGATATGCGCTTGGGTTCTTGTATTGCGAAGCTTTCCACTTCTTTTTTGCGATAATAAGTATCCTCTTTAGTATTATTATGGGCCTATGGGATAGTAAAGTTTGCAATAACTATCTTAAATATGGTGGTTTGCTCTATGCCAATCTTCACACTTGGGCTATCTATGAAAATATCCAGGGAAGTCGTAGAATAACCAAAATAAATGACAAAATTAAAAAAAAAAAATTAAAAAAAAATAAAAGAGAGAGAGAGAGAGAGAGATTTATTCATCTAACAAATTTCACCTTGTCAAGATTTTTATTTTTTCAGACGGCCTCTACGATAATAATTGTTGTAACTTTGAAACTTCCTTGTATTTTTTCTGTTACTTAACCACAGGAGTAGATATTATAATTTTCCTATATTTCACAAGATCCCATCTAGGGACGTATAGGGATTTGGGGGGCTGCTGTGACTAGGGTTGTAAACTGTTCAATGGTAGAGCAGAGAAGCAGATACAGTAGAAGGGAAATTTGGGGAAAACTCCATTTTCATTGATAAGAAAAAAGGATACAATCTCTGTAAAAAAATGTTACCCGATTACAAGGAAGAGAAAAATATTTATACTAAAACAGAAATGATAAAATGTCTAATATGCCCCTGAGTGAACCAACTATAACATCCCCCCCTCAAGCTGGTACTTGATGAACATCAGCAAGGCCAAGCTTGAACCGCAAAGAAAAGAAAACAGAAGGCCCCAAGGGCTTAGTAAAAATGTCGGCTAACTGCAAGGTAGAAGACACCTTGAGGGGCTTTACAAAGCCAGCTTTAAACTCATCACGAACCAAATGGCAATCAATTTCGAGATGTTTTGTTCTCTCGTGAAAAACCGGATTGGCAACAATATAAAGGGCGGCCTGATTGTCACACCAAAGAGGCACAGGAGTAGTGAAAGTGATCCGTAAGTCATGAAGAAGGTAAGACAACCATTTGAGCTCACAAACAGTACTGCCAAGAGCTCTATACTCGGCCTCAGCCGAGGACCGAGAAACCGTGACCTGCTTCTTTGTTTTCCAAGCAATAAGGGATTTGCCAAAGAAAACACAATAACCGGTCAAAGACCTTCTACTATCTGGGCAAGACCCCCAATCAGCATCACTATAAGCACTGAGAGTAGAAAGGGCACAAGAAGGATAGAAAAGACCAAGAGAAGGCTGGCCTTTGAGATATCGAACAACATGAAGGGCTGCATCCCAATGACTAGAGCAAGGAGAGCCCACAAATTGACTTAGCTGTTAAACAGCATAAGTAATATCAGCCCTTGTCATATTAAGATAAAGCAGTCGGCCTACCAATCTTCTATATTGATCCGGATCGTGTAGAGTATCACCATGGCCAGAAAATAACTTCAGGCCATTGGGAAAAGGTGTGGAGACAGCTTTGCAATCAATCATCCCCGTATCTTTGATAATGTCCATCACATACTTTCGTTGATTCAAATATATCCCTTCGTGTCCTCTCACTAACTCAACCCCCAGAAAATACTTTGCGTCACCTAAGTCCTTGATTGTAAATAAGCCATCCAAATATACTTTGACCTGCTCCAAGGCCTCAACATGTGAACCGGTTAAGAGTATATCATCAACATAAATGATTAAAGCCATAAAACCATGTGCATCATTTTTCACAAAAAGGCAGTGATCATGTGCTGATTGCACAAAGCCAAAAACCAACAATTTTGCACAAAATTCAGCATTCCACTCCCGTGATGCTTGTTTTAATCCATAGAGGCTCTTCTTTAAGTGACACACCTGGCCTGGTTTCCCTTTACAATACCCATCAGGTAGAGACATATATATATCTTCACTAAGATAGCCATGTAAAAAAGCATTATTAATGTCCAAGTGAATGAGAGACCATGCTTTCATACTACTAACAGCCACAAGCAACCTTATAGTGTCCATTTTTGCCACAGGTGAAAAACTATCCAAATAGTCTACACCATGAACCTGATGAAAACCTTTGGCAACTAGTCGTGCCTTAAATCTGTCAACACTCCCATCAGGATGCAATTTAACCTTATATACCCATTTACTCCCAATTGGTTTTTTGCCAGGTGGTAAATCAACCAAACACCAAGTGTTATTTTTTTCCAGTGCTGCTATTTCTTGTTGCATAGCAACAACCCACTCTTCCACTTTACTAGCTTCAGCAAATGATTTAGGTTCTTGGATAGTGGACAAATTAGCTAAGAAAGACATATAACAAGGCTGTAATGAAGGTGATATATGATGTGTGAGAGGAGAAGAAGGGGTAGTACCTGAGTTAAGATCTGTTGCTTCCAGTGAAGACAGTGGTCTTGTAGTAGATGTAAGAATATAATCTGAATGCCATTGTGGTGGTTTTTTTGCTCGAGTACTGTTTCTGGTTTTATAGGGGGGAGTGGTTATCTCTGAAGGTCCAAGTTCAGAATGTGGGGGTCCAGGTTCAGAAGATATAGGATCAGAAGTTGTGTCATCAGGTTGTTGAATTGATATTATTGGTAGTGGAGTCTCAACAGTTTCAGCCACAGTGTCAAGGAAAGGAAAGTTATTTTCTAAGAATTGTACATCCCTAGAAATCAAAATGTTATGGTTATCCAAATCATAGAGTCTACACCCCTTCTTTCCTGCTACATACCCCAAGAAGATACAATGATTGGATCTTGGTGAAAATTTATTTTTGTAAGGTTCTGGAGTTGAAGCAAACACTGAACATCCAAATGATTTTAAGGTAGAGTAGTCTGCTAAATGGCCAAACAAAAGTTCATAGGGAGTTTTCCATTGAATTGATGAGGAAGGCAGTCTGTTTATGATATAGGCTGAGTGAAGAATAGAGTATGGCCAAAACTTTAATGGTAGGTTGGATTGGAACATGCAAGACCTGGCTATGTTGAGTAATTGTCTGTGTTTTCTTTCTACTACCCCATTTTGTTGGGGAGTATAAGGACATGAGGTTTGGTGTAAAATTCCATTTGAAGCAAACAATTTTTGACAAGATTGGCTAAGAAATTCAGTGCCATTGTCACTTCTAAACTGTTTAATAGTGACATTAAATTGGGTTTTAACCATTTGTATGAAATCATGAAGGATATCAGTCACTGAGTACTTATGTTTAAGAAGAAAGACCCAAGTTCCTCTACTATAATCATCTACTAAAGTGAAGAAATAAGGAGTATTAGTAAGATTAGGTACATTATATGGTCCCCACAAATCTATATGCACCAAATCAAACAGAGAGACTGAAAAAGAAACACTGGTGGGAAAACTATTTCTCGGCTGCTTAGATTTATAACAGACATCACAATGTGAAGTAACAAATTTGCTTTCACCATTACAAACAGGTTTAAGGAAATCAAGATGTTGAAGGACAGAGACTGAAGAGTGGCCTAACCTCTGGTGCCATACATCAAAAGTTTCTTTATTAGGTACTAAAACAGAAGAGCAAAAACTTTGGCTAAAATGAGCTACTTCAAGGGTGTAGAGTCTGCCCACTGCCTTCCCTGTTGCAACAGTATCCTTAGTCCTCAGGTCCTGTAAAGTAAAATGAGTAGGATAAAAGGTGCAAACAATGTTAGATTGTTGAGATAATTGAGCAACTGAGATCAGGTTATATTTGAAAGTAGGTATATAAAGGACATTTTTTAAACAAAATTTGGTATTGAATCTAACAGTTCCAGATTGGTAGACACTAAGCTTTGTTCCATCTGGTAGAACAATGTTCAAAGGCTTTATATGATGTAGAGTGACAAAACAATTAGGATTATTGCTCATATGCCTACTCGCCCCTGTGTCCAATATCCAAGATCCTTCATCAACATGCTCTATACTAGTTAAGGCCAAGTAAGGGTTACCTTGAAGTGGAGTACCTGCAAATTCCACGAAGTGTGCATAATTGTCTCCTCCATTCACTTTCTGTCCACTTCCTGATCCCATATACTTGGCTATTTCTTGTTTTATCAAATTTGATATATCCTGGAGTGGTAGCTCATTCCTTTCTTCAGGTACAACTGTTCCTTTGCTTATTCCTTCAGTCTTAACTGAGTTTGCCACTGATCTTCCACCTAGTTTTGCCCTTTCTTCCTTCAACAATTTAAACCACTCGGGATAGCCATGAAGTTTGAAGCATGTCTGAGCCAAATGTCCAGATCCTTGACAGTAATCACACTTCCATTTAGCCTTGTCCTCCTTACTGACTCTACCACCAACAGCTCCTTTTTGCGAGTTCATCTGCCAGTTATTTCCCATACTACCTCATTTGTTCACAAATCTAGTGGTAGCATTGGCTTTGGTGAACATTGCATTATGCTCTCTACTATCAGGAAACATTTGTTGAACTTGCCTCTGCTTCTCTACTCTTTGAATTATGGAGTACGCTTTGTTTACACTTGGCAAAGGATCAAGCAACAGTATCTGGCTCATAACACTTTCATAATTCTCGTTTAATCCCATAAGGAATTGCATCAGCTTTCTATCTTCCTCAATTTTAACCCATTGCTGTGAACCACCACAATTACAAGTAGGCAAAGACACCAAGCTAGAATACTAATCCCAAAGTCTTTTGAGTTTAGTGAAGTAACCTGCAACAGAGTCTCCTTCCTGTTTGATGTTGGAGATCTCCTTTTGCAGCTGATAAAGCATCGGTCCATTGCTTTCCCCAAACCGCTGCTCGATCTCTTCCCACAGTGCCTGAGCTGATTCTGCATATAAGAACGCATCGACGAGATCCTTGCCAAGTGAGTTCAATATCCAACTGTACACCGTGTAATCAACTTTCCTCCACTGTTCGAACTCTGCCGCATCTGGATCTGGCCTTTTCACTCGACCATCGACAAAGCCTAGCTTTGTTTTCGCACCAAGTGCGATTGTCATAGCTCGCCACCACGATTGATAATTGGAGCCGGTTAACAGAGTCGAAACCAAAGCCATACCTGGATGATCAGAATTATGAAGCAAATACGGATCATCCGTCCTCATTATCGGCGGTTGGTTTTGACCTCCTTCACCAGGGTTGCCGGAGTTTCGCCCACCGGCGACTACTACATTCCATGCTGTATTTTGCACCATCGTGATCGATTGTTATTACTCCCGCTCTGATACCATGTTCAATGGTAGAGCAGAGAAGCAGATACAGTAGAAGGGAAATTTGGGGAAAACTCCATTTTCATTGATAAGAAAAAAGGATACAATCTCTGTAAAAAAATGTTACCCGATTACAAGGAAGAGAAAAATATTTATACTAAAACAGAAATGATAAAATGTCTAATATGCCCCTGAGTGAACCAACTATAACATAAACGAATCGAATCAAAACGAATACTCAGAGATTCGATTCGTTTCGTTTAAAATATTCGAAGATTCGATTCGTGATTCAATTCGATAACGAATTCATTTTTTGATTCGTATTCGATTCGTTTAGAATATTCGAACATATACGATTCCATTCGAAATTCGTTTTCAAAAAAATATTATAATTACAAAAATAAATTTTATTTTTCATATAATTTTTAAAAAAATTGTTAATTTATGATGTTTTTAATTATTATGTCATAAAAATATTAGGAATATAACAATATATTGATATGGGATATTATATACTCAAGGATAAACCGGTCTACTTGGCCAATCGAGAAGGTCAAACCAAGAGGAAGCCAAGATGAGAAGCGGGGAGGTCAAACGTTCAGATAATCGACCAGTCAGGTGCTCGACCAGTCCATCGCATGACCAGACAAGCGATCGAGCAACCCATCGCTTGACCAGACAAGCGATCGAGCAACCCATCGCTTGACCAGATGCATGATCGGGCAACCTACTCGACCTCAACAGGTCGATCGCTTCGAGGAACCAACAATCGGCCTAGTCATGGGCGCGTGTGTCATAGGCGCGCGTAAGAGCCTCTAACTGAATCTCAAGAGAATATTTACCCCATGTGCAGGAGGGACACGTGTCGATAATGTATTGGGTGATAGCGATAACCACCTCTGACAGCTCCCAAACACCCTGCGCCACCTCTGACATGTGCGCGGCGTGTCAGAGTACGGACGGACAGCTTGGGCAGCCAGCTCACCTTATTCGGGCAGCTATTAGGGCAGGTATTTCACCCCTATATAAAGGGGGTGAGCCTTTCTCCCTTAACAGATTCTATTCATTACTCAACTCCAGTATACTCATACACATACTGACTTAAGCATCGGAGGCTCTTCACCGGACACAACCCCCGGTGTGAGTTATTTGCAGGTTTACGGCGTTCTACCGGCAAGGACAAGAACCGATCTACTCCAAACCGGACCAGGACGCTCACACTTGCATTATTGGCGTCGTCTGTGGGGATTCTTTGTTCAAAAAGTTGTGTTTGAAGCTCAGCTATGGCAGACGGAATTCCTAAAAACTTGCAGTCAACGTTCGACGAAGCTTGGACGACGACCAGGCAGTTGGGGCACGACCCTCCTCCGGGTTTTTCCGGCCCATCACAGACTCCGATCACTCCCGCATCTGTCCTTCATGGTGTCGGAGCGACGACGGCGATTCCCGGGGGAGATGTCAGCTCCAGTCGGGCCCAGGAGGCTCGCGCAGCAGCAGCGGCGGCGATGCCACCGCCACTGCCATCAGATCCAACACAAGGGCAGGGAGGAGCGATGGTGCAAGGAGGAGTGCCACCACAGGCAGCTGTACAAGCCCCCGGCCAGCAAATGGGGGCGATGACCCGAGAGGAGATGCAGAGGATAGCGGCGGCTGCGGCGGCGCAGGCGGTGCAACAAGTCACGAGTCATACATCTCATGCCACCACTGCGCCGACCACGGTGGCCGGAAGCCAAGATGAGGATGTGTCCAGTTATGGAGAAGGAGGGGATGGAAGAGATCGGGCAATGGAGAGGATGATGGAGCAGTTGCGCCAGTTGTAGGACAAGGTGGAGGGTAGGCCAGAGAGGAGAGCTCGAGAACATCCCTTTTCGAGGGAGATTCTCGTTGCTCCTTTGCCAAATAACTTCAAGGAGACCAACTTGGTGTATGATGGGTCATCTGACCCATCGAGGCATGTGAGGACCTTCGAAAATATGGCTGTGTTGCATGGATATTCTGATTCTATTTGTTGCAGGGAATTTTTATCGACCCTGCGTGGAGGAGCACTTGATTGGTTTCATCAATTACCCCCTGGGTCGATCGCGAGCTTTGAGGACCTCACTAGCAAGCTTATCGATCAATATTCGAGCGCGGTGGTGCAGGAGAAAACGTATTTGACTCTGATGGCGATGAGGCAGGGGGAGAAGGAGTTATTGAGGAAGTATGTGGCTCGATATAATCAGACATGTTTAGAGGTGTACTCGGCTTCGGACGAGGTGAAGGCGGGAGGACTGATAAGGAGTCTTCGAGCAGGGCCTTATCGAACTTCCCTGGCAATGACCCCTGCTCGATCATATGAGGATGTTCTGAAGCGGTGCAGAAAGTATATTAATTTGGAAGAGATGGAGATGGAGTTGCAAAGCTGGAAGGAGTGGCTCGGCCAGAGCCAAAAAAGGAGAAAAGCCCGCAAAGGGGGAGGTCGCCGAGGAGAAATTTGCCTCCATTTGAAATTCGTGATTCGTGATTCGATTCGATAACGAATTTATTTTTTGATTCGTATTCGATTCGTTTAGAATATTCGAACATATTCGATTCCATTCGAAATTCATTTTCAAAAAAAATATTATAATTACAAAAATAAATTGATTTTTCATATATTTTTAGAAAAATTTGTTAAATTATGATGTTTTTAATTATTATGTCATAAAAATATTAGGATTATAACAATATATATATATATATATACATATGTTATAAACAAAATGTATATTATATATAATTTGTAAAAACTTATATAATTATTGTTAACGAATCGAATATTCGAATTTTGAATCGAATATCTACACATTCAGATTCAAAATCGTTATAATTTCGAATCTAAAACATCAATCGAATTCGAATATTTCGAATTCGAATCACGAATATCGAATTCGAATCACGAATCGAATAAAAATTGTTTGATTTGTTTACAATCCTAGTTGTGACCCACTAACAGCAACCCCAGCTGTTACTTTATAACCATCAGATCTATTCTAATTAAACATCAATCTAATGGTTGAAGATAAAGGACAAATGCATTTATTTCACAACACTTTATTACAATTCTTCCGCCACTTGTTGTACTCTCTCTCTCTTCTTCTTCTTTTTATTTTTTTTTTATTTTTTGTTTTTATTTCTCAATAAAAATACCTGTAGCTTCCCAATTGCCTTTCCAATTTTCATAATTCAATTTCAACTCTTACTATGAAAATTAAATAGCAAAAAAAATACGAATGATTTTTTTTTTTTAACATAGCTGGAAACATAACATGATATCATCTTCTTGAATTGCTATTTTGAAACAGTAGCTGGAAAACAACAATTGTATATTACAATCTCATAAAATAATTTCAAATTTATGCATTTTCTTGAAACAACCTTATTCTCATCTTCTTGGAGTACTTGTAATCAGTGTTTTAAATACGTACAAGTGGTCATACCGATCTAGTCACGGGTAGGAGTGTGCAAAATTCGTCTGGAATCGGCCGAACCGACCAAAACCGACCGAACCGACAATTTTTGTTCAGTTTTTGTCCGACTCGGTCGGTAGTCGGTTTTCAATTTGTAACTTTTCGATTATTTCGGTCGATGTCGGTTTTCGGACACAATGTCCAAATAACCGAACCGACCGAATAATATATATATAGAGAGAGAAGGGATCATATGAGAATGACACATAGTGAAAGAAATGAGAATAAATGTGGACCATGAGATTAATCATATTAATAGTTATGATGAAGTCAAATTATGGTCAATTATTAATGGCAATCTAGTAATTATTTGATCAAAGTGTGGTTAATTATGTACATTTACCAATAATTAAGGGTAAGTTGGTCAATACACATTTATTTTGTGAGACTTACGACACCAATTAATCACATCATCAATTCTCTTTCTCCCTCACGCAGCCCAAAGTCTGATTACTGTACCCAAAAAAAAATCTAATCTACACACCTACACACACATTACTGTACCCAAAAAAAAAAAAAAAGAAATCTAATCTACACACCTACACACACACTGCACACACTCACGACCGGGAACACACACATACAGTGAAACAGAGCCACCGCAACCGCGTGAGAGGTGAGCCCACCCGCCGCCGCAGCTCCACCGGTCGCCACCAGAGACGGCAGCCGTCCGCCACAAGCACAATGCCGCCGGTCAGCTTCCGTGAAAGCTTCTCGCCGACAGTCGCGTCTCTCCTCCGACTTACGCTGTCGTGGCTCTTGCGCCGGACGTCAGCCTCCCGTCAGTGCAGTTCCACCGGTCGCCACCGGAGACGACCGCCGGCCGCCGTCCGCCACAAGCACGACTGTCCAGTCCCACCATAGACGGCCGCCGGTCTGCCTCCGTTAGAACTCCACACCGACCAGTCGCAGCCCTCGACCTTCACGCCGGAGGAGCACGGTGGACCCGACGGCGGCGTCCGGACATTGTCACGGTGGTCTTCTTTCGGGAAGAGAATCAGTTAGACAATAGGCGTGAGGGGGAAGATGAACGAGAGTTTCAATTTTTATTTTTATTTTTTATTTTTTATTTTTTATGGGGGGCTTCATCTTGTAAATTTGATAAGTGATAAGTGTTTGATTGCAATATTAGATCTTTTAATATATTACAATTTAGTTCATGTGTCAATTTGTAATTAATCAAACTATAATTAAAATTTTAATATTTTTATTCAATATTTGGTTGAAACTAAATAATATGTTAAGTACGAATATATTTATAATACGTCGTTTTTTACAGTGCAACATGTTGTGTTGTAAGGTGCAATGTATTACAATACAACGTGCAACGTATTAATTTTAGTACGTTAGCATGCTGTATTTTTTTAGATAGATAATTTGATAAAGTGCAACGTATTGTTTTATAAAGTGCGACATTCCGTGACATAAAG